CTGCGAAAACAAATATATCGATGGTTATATGCACAAACATTGTATGTCCAATTTTTTTCACTTTTGACATTTTTATATATTTGGAAAGCTGTAGTCTTCATCTTTCAGATCACACATATTGTATGTCCATATTACAATAGGAAAAATTAATATAAATTCTCAAAATAAAAGTGTTCACTTTGGTATGATGTAATTTTATCCTGCACACTAGTAGCATGTCCAATGATTGCAGTACCAGCTGAACAGAGAAAAACTCCTTTAGAGCACAGATATAGTATCTTTGGACTTGCAATGATTGTGCATGAAAATACAAGGCCTACCATCTCTGGTATTTGTTTTTCATCTTGTAGTATGTCCAAAAATCTGATGATCTCAAGTGCACTCTCATAGTATGTCCACATTTTATTTTACAATTAGGTTAGGTTTAGGACATACAGCATCTGTGCACAACAGAACATAACACCAAAAAAGAATCCGTGAATTGGCTAAAGGTAAAGTGGTTTGGGTTTTAAAAAGCAAACCTCTTTGAAATTCTATACAAGTACGAACTTAACAAGGAAATAGAGTTTTTGACTCTTGATATACGAATGAATTCCGAGACGCCATTTGTCTGGGAACAACAACTTCCCAGTCCAAAGTACACCGAGCCTATTCCGGTTTCCAGCGCCAAGAAAAAGGATTTGATGTACCTACTTAAAGCGGGTGTAATCCCAGAAGCATTCACGCATTTTGTCACTGAAATCCCTAGTTCCGCATCGGCAAGAGATATTGTACTTTACGTCATAGAGGAAGAAGAAGGAAACAAGTCTCTCACTGAAGTTACCAAAAAGAAAGAAGGAAGACGCAATAGAAGAGATGTCATAGGGCAAGAAACCAGAAAAAGAAGTAATATAAAGAGAGTTTAAGAAAACCAAGGAGGCTAAAAAAACCAGAGAAAATAAAAGAAATTAAAACTTTATAAGAAAATAAAGTAATGTGTCTAAAGGACAGCACTGTTGAATAAACCCCATAAAGACTGACTCAACAAAATACAGTTTGTACTGTATAGGTACCATTTTACAAAAGGCACTACCTGATTTATTTCGTGCTTTGTTTAATGTTTCGTTTAGGCCTATTTGTGTTTAAGTTTCTAATAGCTGGTAGGCCAAGTAATTTTTATTTTTAAAATGTTAAAAATAAAAGTAGGTAGTCTACAATGTAAGACAATAACAGTCATGGGCGTCCGCAGAATTTGGAACAGGGGGATGCAATATATAGGTCTAACGAACCTCCAGGGGTTCGAGGCCTTTCCCGGGAAAAAATCTGAAAATATAGTGTTTTAAAACATATTTTTACGCTATTTTGTAATACATAAAACCAACCAAAACAACATAGTACATTGTGCATCAAGGACGGTCACCTGAGGGAGTCGTCGTTTTTTATGCCAACATTAACAGTTAACCAAACAATTATAAAGAAAAAAAATTATAGTTGAATAAAGCCTAGATAACAGCCAAGAAAGTTTATGTTTTGTTTTCTGAATAGTTTTGTTAAAGTATGAAAGTATACAAAGTATAAAAGATTTTTACATCTGTGAGTCAACTACTTATTTGATTTAAACATCAATTTAAAACATTTTTTAGACATGACCATTTTGAACATACTTTTATAAATTCCTTAAAACCCAAGTGATCACAGAACATTATGTGTATTAAATTTATTTCTATTTTTTTTTGCCGGGGGCGCCCATGATAACAGTTGTTTAAATTTTTCATTCCTTACTAAAACCATCAAGGGGCAGTTTTTGTATTGCACACTCGTAGCATGTCCATAAATCTGCGCGTTCAGAAGTGCACACATGTAGTATGTCCAACATGGTTTGATTTACACATTATTTGTAAAAATGTGGCTTGAATAAAGATAAAACTATTTATGTAGATGCATTTTTAATAAATGGGGCCAATAAAATTTATTTATTTCAAACATTTAACAGTTTTAGTTTAAGTTTCCCCCATAATACAAACTTTGTTTTTGCGGTTTCCGAAAGTTTACCAAAATGGACATACAACTATTGTGCTTATAACCATCGATATTGTGATACTACTTACACATGTTACACTCAACTCTATTAAGTTCTTCTACAGGTGAATGACATAAAATAAGTGAATATCCAGATAACAATTTTGGGTAAACAGATACCATTTCTGATTGTCAAAAAGGTAGTACTTGTTGATCTGATTGGAGATATGAGTAGCATAATATTTCAGGATTGTGCCAATGAACAAAAAGCCTATGAAACAGTTTGCATGATATCATGGCCTGAAAACACATTTTATACAAAAATCCTCTCAGAGAAACTTATTATTAAAACAATATACAGGGTTAGGGAGATATATGGATACACATTCCCTGCTTCTGAACTGATAATTTTACCTAAGCTATAATTATACACAACTTTGAAATTGAAAAAATGAGCTTTTTAATGAAATGTTAACTAAGATAATTTGATTTTTGAATTATAAACCAAAATAAGAAACTCCTAATTTTGTTGTTGTTGATTGAACAAAGTTAGAGATTTTTATCCCAACCATCAAGTAAAAAAACACTTCAGTACCGTATACACAGGTATACATCAGTACCGGTATACCTATCGTAAAAATTCTTGTATTACGTTTTTAATGATATAGGCCATTATTCCATACTATGAACATTTTATCCTTTCTGTTTGGGTCCATCCTTAACTGTATTACTAAAAAGCTATGTTTACACTAGCATGAGTAGCATGTAGCAGTGGAGCCACTAAATTGCACCAGTTTTAGTGTCATATGCCACTAGAGGCTTACACACAAAAGTGATAGTTCAAGCCATGCCACTATTAATGGCGTACTTTTGCATTTCAATCTTTATATTTAGGGACTTTGTAATCCCATAAGCAGGGAAAAAGTTCGAACAATTTGAGAAATCGGTCGATCTTGGCCGGCTTCCATCTCTCTTCCTTCTTTTTACCTTCTATACCTTTTCTGTCATTTCTAACTGAGGTACATTCTTCTGCTTACTCGGATTCTTAACCTTTCCCTTTGATTCTTTTATTCATAACACTGTGTATTTATTCTGACCAGTATCGAATTCATTACTATCAGTTCCTCCATCACCTGTCCAGCTTCGGTTTCTGCCATGACACCGTAACAAACATTTCATTTCTTTGAATTTAATTTGTTATATAAACATTCACAAAGATATATACTTATCAACACAGAGATCCGGCTAGTTAATACAAGTGACACAGGTGCTAGACGTCAGCCTCCGTCACTATACTCCGTTCAAACAGCCGTGGCACCTGACAGATTAGGAGACCCCATGGAAACCCTTGGGGCCTCCTAATCCCTCAGGTGCCACGGCTGTTTGAACGGAGTATAGCACTGGTGCTGTGGTTTACACGGGCCACAGGAAGTGATGCGTCAGTACAGATGGTGGATCATTGCTACTGACGCCACTATTTATGTCAAACATATATTAGTTGCGTCACTCCTGATGGAGCACCACTCCAGTACTCCACTAACAATGGCGCATCATTTAGGGTTTACATGGTATATTTTTGGTGTCACTATGAAGCCGGTAAACACAGTGCTACATGCTAGTGTAAACCTAGCTTAACGGACAGGTGAACTCCCAGTCTGAGGTATTTCAAAACTGTCAGCCAAACAGAGAATTTATACTCTTGACCAACTTAATTTGAAATTAATTTGAGCATCTCTTTAATTTCACTTACTTGAGATCAAGTTCATCTGCATGCCGAGACTTGAAGTTGTATAACACGACGTACAAGTTGGTCGGCAACAGACGATGTGGCTTCTGAAACAACATTACATTATATTAATTAATTCAGCTCAACGTAAGAGAAGAGTTTGTTTCAACATATAACACGCTGTAAACATAGCTGTCTTTTTAGCTTAGAACTTTCTTGCTTGAAGACCAGTCTTTATGTACAATCATGGTTGAATATTAGGTTAAAATCCATGTTTTAGCCCCTGAGCTGTACAATAACTAAAATAGGCTTTACCTTCGTCACTGCAGCTCACATTCTTGTGGTGTAACTACGTTACGGCCGTTTTGGCATTACAATGCCATCGTCAGACTACAAAAACACAAACTCGGCTGAAGTAGATACGTAGCTTGAAGTTTAAACACGTAACACAAATGAACAATAACATAGATTTAAAATATTTACAAAAACCGAACAGGCCTGTCGTACTAACGGGTGACATGTTCCCGTTCTGAGCAAAAACCGACTGGAAGATTTCTATGTCGAGCCAGGTGTGGTGGCGTTATCAGTTGAACTTTGTACTCCTGGCTTCTTGTTCCTTTTCTGATTTAAAATGCTATTGAATATGAAGTGTGACTTGTACTGTAGTTTGTCGTTTAAAATTATATCGTCCAAATTATTTTCGGTGTAAGCTTTGTATATTTCATACTCTTTCATAGACTGGACACCCTAGAAGAGTATGAAATTTACAAAGCTTACACCGAAAATAATTTGGACGACATGTATATATATAATGTTTGTTGTGTATTCGTACCATTTTAATGTTTTTTGTGTTCGTGTTGTCCATGTTTAATTGTGTTTTGGACGAGTTGCAAGCTTTGAAAATGTTGTCTTTGCAACAAAACATGTAAGCTGATGAGCAATATTAATGGTTGGACTATATGACGGAGGTTTGTAAAAACCTATTATTGCTTAACAATATAGTCCATGGAGCCAGAAACATGAATTTTGAACGCCTTAACCTTAAACCACTTGGCCTTTGATTCTGTATTGTCTATTGTACTAAGATCACTGATTTACCCAAAGCCGAAATATGATATTGCAGCCTTCAACTGTTGTCGGGTATTGCTTGGATGGTTGTTGGACGGTTTGCTTGAATGTCATTCTTGATGGCCATAATATCAGCCTTTGTAGTTTACTGGGTTCAGTGTTGGCCATTATTGCTATGGCAATGTCAGATTAAAATGTAATAGTAACACATCCCCATTACATCATTGAAAAACTAGCTCTTCACATCCCTCAATGACGCTTCTAATTGGGTTTCAGACATGAAAAGACTTTTCTATGTGTTTAAAAGTCACATGTATTCAAATTGTGCCTAAAGTATTGCATTTGCCTCTTTGTCAATTAATGAATTCACAAAATTCCCTTTCTTTTGCTTCTTTGGTCAAATATTGTATGTTTTTATTATTAATTATTGTGAATATATGGAGTTCTCCTGTACATTTCAACCCACAGTTCACAACTACCATTCACAACTCTATGTTTATTATGTTATTCGCTAAGTTGGTTGACTGACCGGTGACGGGCAAGGCGATGTACTTGCTGATGATAATGATTTCTCATTGTCGTCTGGTAGCTCTACACTGCTCATCCTCATATTACGAGCTGACAGCAGTCTCCGATTGTGGACTGGACTGGACGGAGCTGCAAGTTGAAAATTAATCAAAATGCGTCACAATTATTACAAATATAGGTTTATTGAATGCATATGTGGTTATGACAACTCCAGGGTCAAACATATGATTCATTAAAGCCTATGGTATAATGGTATTCAAGTTTAAAATCGACCTTTAGGTTCAAAACCCTTCTTGCTCGTCACAAAAACCAAATCACCTGACAAAACACCCTTTATAGAGTCAAAGCTAATTTTTTTGCTTAAATAGTAGTTCAATCAATTAGTTGAGTTATTTCAAACAAAATAAACTATAATTTGATTACATTTCAGCAGTTCAAACTAAAAACCAAAGTAAATGTAGAGGCAAATATTCAGACAAAAAACTAGTCCTTAAATATATAAAGGCAAAATTCTAATCCAAATTACTGAACCATTAAAATATGCATGAGGATCTAGAATATTGACATAAATGAGAATGGTGTAACTAATATAAAAATATGTTCAACTATGAAAACAATGATCCTTTTTGAAGATGGTCACGCTGAAGACTGCTCACTACTGCACCTACACATCAAAACATAAGTCACACAAACATAAAATTGAGTGGTACTCCAAACAACACAGTATGAAGTTGTGATAAATTGTTCTACATTTCAAAAACAAAACAGTACTAACATTGACTTAGGAATGAATAATGAATATCCTCATTTTACTAAATGGGGAACATAAGAAGAATGTTAAATTTATGATTTTTGTACAGTGAAGAACTATTTTGTGTCAGTGACAAATATTGTTTACTACTGTATTTGTTTGGGTTGAAATATTGATGATTTAATATTGTATATACTGTATAGTAATAGTTTTTAATGTTTTTAGTATTTTTTTAAAGCCTTGTTTATGAATAATAAATAAGTTAAGTGATAGCTGTAAATTTCTGGAGCTTAAAGTGTTTAAAAAAAGGTTGTATGACTGGCTGATCCAAAATCCTTTTTACAGCCTAGAAGAATTTTATAAAGAGCATTCTGTTAATTTTTAAATCAGTATTATAGTTATAAGCCTATCTGTTACAAATTGTATGTTATGTATTTTTTATTTATTTTGCATGTAAAATGACACTGTCTATTGCATGTATGTAATGCTGAAAGACAATAAATGATGATTCTGATTCTGATTCTGAATAGGTAGATTTTAAGTTCACACCCTTACTTCAGTTACTGGTATTGAAAAAAAAAAACTAATTTATACAATGGTTTTGATTTTGGTAGCTGTTAAATAAAGCATTCAACATCTATATCAATATTTAAACTTAAACATTTTACTATTGTGAAAGTGGTGTTTTTTTTTTTATTGTAAAATCTATATGATTTTGTTGGCAGCTATGGCAATGTTTGCAACCACTTCCATGTGAATTTAAAAAGTAGTCTGTACATTGTTGGAAACTAATAATGTTAAGTTCATCGTTTTTACACCGGCGAATCTAAAACTTCCTTTAAAAATCATTAACTGATGCTGAAGTTTTTGAAAATGACTACTAGTGGTTCTGAGTATTTTTAAGTTGGCAGTTTTTAGATATTACTAGAGGTTCAGTAATAACATGTTAAAATACAGGTGGATTAGAAAGGGTTTTCTAATTTTTCACTATCCATCACTATTCTGAAATAATATTTGATGAAAATATTGATTACCGGTAGGTGGGGTATCGTTTTACGACATTTTCAGTTTGAAACTATTTAGAGTTGTACTTTACTAGTAATATTTTTACTTTAATAAATATATAAAGCTATGAGTTCAATATTTCTTTATTGCAATTTAACAATTTTTATATGTGAAGATTTATACCACAAGATGGTCTAAAATTTAAAATCAATGATCAAAAAGTGTGAGGCTAAGGTTTACCTACTAAAACTATATAATGTGGAAACTAAGCACTCAGAATGTCTAGTTGATTGTGTTTGTATTCTAATTTAGTTTGTTTCGTACTTGACCAGCAATGACTGCTATGAACAAAGATGGGTCTGCGTCTGCGTCTTCCCATGCAGAAGCCATCTTGAGGATATGTGTCACTTTCAGCATCAAACAATGATACTGCACATCATACCAACAAGTAAGCATTAGGCTCTCATGTTGGTTAACTTGTTACCAATGTTAAAACATATGTTGATTAAAACACTTTTTTAATGACAATGTTTGATAACCTGGAAATCCAAAATTTGTTGATTAGATTAACAAAATTATTCACTGTAAACGATTTCCCTTTTGATGAAAATGTTCCAAAGAAAAACGCTGGAAAGCACAATAATAATTTAGCTTTCTTTGTTTTAATACTTATATCCAATTGTTTGTGTATTTTATAAAACACTGCCAACGGGGATGCAGAAATCAATTTTGGCAAAATGGAAAGTTGACCATTTAAAAGAAAATTCTGAAAAAATATTGTCTGTGTAGAAGTTTGTCTGCCTCTTTCTCCTCCTCAGACCCCAAAAAATGCTGAAATGCACAATTGTATCACACCATTTATGACAAAGTTGACATCTTTTGTTTGACAACATAAATGGGCATGAAAATCATTCACTCTGATCCTCTGATATACAACAATATTTAAGTATAGCAAAGAGCATGTTGATAGGTTGTCCCAATGTGCCGAATCCATGCAGATTCCTGGAAATTTGAAATTAAAATAAAACAATACTGTGTTAAAATTCAACAGTCAATCTTGGTTATAAGTTTATGCGATGAATCTTTTACAAAAATTGTCATAAAACAGACAAATAAAAGAAACTGTAACTTCCTAAAAAGTATTAAATGGTAAAACAACTTACAACTATCAAATATCAAATAACAAATGGATTGTTAAATCATAAACACTCACCTCAAAAATCATATTGGAGTTTTCACTGAAAAATTTTCCCTACAGAATTATAAAATTTACCTCCTGATTGTATACAAATAATTAGGTAAATACTAAACTTAATGATTATGTACATTATATGACTATCATGGTGAAAAAATGGCAAAATATACAAATGAGCATACTTTTGCTATTGTTCTTTTCTTTCCAAAAGTGAGTTAATTAAGAAGTTTATGTGCATTGTATAAAATGAGGAGTGTTTGGGTAGTGACTACTGTACAGCAAAAAACCACCTCAAGTGAGGACAAAAACTTTTAGTTTGAGAACATGTTTCTACCACTCCATCACTAACACATAAATGTACAATAAAAGTACAATGGTTATGATAAAAAATATCCTTAAAAAGCGGTGAGAGTTTACTGGATAGACATAAAAAAAATGTAAAATTCAAAATTAAATACATATAGATACACAAAGAAAAGAATTACTCCAAAAGTTGAAACTTGTTTAGCTTCTGGTCCACTTGAATAATAAACCCCTAAAACATCTATAATAGTGTAGAGGGGGGGGATAAGTTTTTTTTAGTTAAAGGGCCACTTATAAAATATGAATCAATAAAATAATTAAGGACATTTTTTTGTTAATGCTTTCATATTCCTTTGATATTGTATGTGTATGAGTTTGTGACGACTCTTCGAGACTGAAAGAGGTTCCTCTTTAAACAAACTTGGTATTCAGCTTGGAAATGAACCTTTTGGTTTGAAACTGTTTAATGAATAAACAGAGTATTAAAGGTGATTTTAAATATTCATTTCACAAACAATTGTTTCTTATCTGCTTCCCCAAGTGAGCTGGTTTAGTGCTATGTAGACAGGGTAGTGTTATGTAGATAGTTATGTTACATTGTAAGCGAGATGATGACGAGTGGCTGGAGGTCGGGCCCCCATTGGCCGATGCTGATGGTGGGGGGCCCCCGCGGCGCCTCTGTACCACCTCACTACTCTCGGGGGAGTCAAGAGACAGACTTTTCATGCGGAGATTCAACTTCTGCCTCCGTGGACTGTGAGGGGCTGTGGAACAATCACACTACTTACTACGCAAGCCACTCAAAACCGCCTTGCGTTTGCTGCAAGGTTGCGGAAAAGGATTATACTAGCATTTCAGTAATTGGTAGACATTTTGAAGTTGAACTAGCTAATTGCATTTCTTTGCATGTTATTGGACAAACTTCTACTACAGGGTTTTTAAAGGTTTTTTTCATATTTTGAACCTGTAAGTGGTAGGATACAATATAAGTTATGTCAATTTTTAAATCGGTGTAGAACGATTTTGCTAAACACTCTACCCTAGTTAGATGTGTTGTTTGTATGAAAAAATAGTACAAGAAGAAAAATTATTCTCTGATATTAATCATAGGAAACAGTTTCTGGAAAAGCTGTTTGCAAACTTATAAGATGAAATAAATATGCCTAATAAAGGTTTTAGGAAACAACAGTCTTAATGTAAAAAAAAACACATTTTTGAAAAATTTAATAAACCATTAAACTAGGCCTATGTAATTCAAAAGTGGGTTACAATATTACAAATAATTTTTAAGCTAACCAATTATACTTTTATAAATTTTACTAGGTTTTTTGTTTTATCTAAGTCATAACAATATACGTTGAAAATATGAATCAAAGGGCAAATGACGCAGCTTTATTCACAAATGAATCACATGTTTTTAGTTCTATAGTTTACAGATTTACTGGAGTGGGTAGGCAAAATAAAGCATTCTTTGAGCAAATACAACCAAGAGGCATACATGCAAGCACAAACGATTACACAAACTGGTTAACATACAAAATGATGAATTTCCAAGGTTCATAAAAAAATGCACTTCCAATTGCGCCAAAGCAAAAACTTTATCAACACCCGATAAAACCGTTTCAAAATCTACTTACGTAAAAATAATATCAAGTTGATTATAAACCTGCGATATATTCCTTATTTGGCCAGTATTATTTGTGCTGTTTTTCTTCTTCAAGACAAATCCAACGCTTCTTTTACCACTATCTGTTACAATGATGATGAACAGTTCAACATTCAATACAACTACATGTACTTCTGTGTTTAAAGTTCATTTTTGGCGATTGTAAAGTTGGATTGTTTGAAAGATTATTGTGAACACTTTCCAAGTATAGATAGAGAGATTTCATGTCATAATAAAATATGATACTATCTTCAGCTAAGAATAAGCTGAAAATATAACAAGATTAGTACCCGCCCAGCCAAACCTAAAAAATCCCAAAATAAATACCTCACAGAGAACTGCAGTTGTCAAAACAAGAAACAACCAATCCCAAAAGAAAATAACAATTATTGTAATGATTACCGGTGTGATATGCTATGGGCCCAAGATATGATTGTGCCCCTCCTCAACCAAACGCTTCTCTTTGGGGCAGATTCTCTTCCTTGCACCCCCAACAAACCTTAATCCTCTTGAGGAAGCTCCTAGGTCCGGGCCCACCGGGCCATTTTATTAAAACGGCCCTGAGGAGGGTAAATGAACAATGTACATATCTGTACCAAGAAACTAGCTCAAGCAAGATTCACCATAACGCTACCCTCATATTGAGCAGATGTGTCGATTATGTTACCTACCACCATTATTTGTACTATATAGTTCCTAGTTTTTTATAATGAATTTTTCCCTTGTTTAGACTATACTATCCAACTATATGTGTGGCTTTTCTCTTGTGTTCACCACCTTGGTTGAGTTGTGTTCTACAATTGTTATGCTTTTGGTACTTTCTTATGCTAGGGAATCATATTCCAGATCCCAAAACTCCACAAAAATCTTTTTTACCAACCGTAATGGAAAATGTGCACAGTAATCAATCAAATGACAATCCGACTCTTGTTGATGTGTAAGGCTAGACACCAATGTGACCTAGGGGAGTCTATTCTAGGGGCTCTACGCTAGTCTAGGGGTGACTACAGACCAGTCTGTATGATAGGAGAGTTCATTTGGGGCTCCGTTGGTGTCGTGGCACTGCTGTATGTCCCAGATATCGTCGAACCTATTGTAATTCTATGTTAGTAAACAACAATGGCACTTCACTACCTCATTTGGCCCAATTTACAGCATTGCCACATAAGGAAATGTTCACATAAAGAGCACTCTAAACTACTAACTTGCAGCATAGATAGTTATGGTAACAATGATATCATTCAACATTTTCATACTCTTCACTTTTAACAAACTATGAGTTTTAAAATGTGCCCTTAGATTCTTGGGTGTCTTAAAAAAAATAAGTTAAATTGTGTATGTTTCCATATCTAAGTAAATATAAGTAAAGGAATAAATTAACAAACTCAATAAAAAAACTGGCTTATTACCTTCAAATAAGTTTTCTTTTGCTAAGATTGACTACAATGTAATTCTCTTTCCACATATTGTTAAGCAGTCAAATATTTTCCAGACCAAACTAATAAAATACAAAATACATTAATTATTTTATAAAATAAAATAAAATCTATACCAGGATTATATTTTTTATACAACTAGGTATAACTTATTGAAAATTATTAAAAAATCTTAGAAAAATAAACAGTTGAACTATAAATTGTATCGTGATCAATATTGTATTCCTAAGCCGTTGACTTATTATACATATATAATCATTTCACACACTATTAAAAAATATCACTGTGTTAAAGCAAATGGTAATTATAATTTGTATTAAGGTTAAGAAAGTAGACAACATATTCAGGAGGATATTAAAAGGATGTGTCAAAGGATCTCAGTTTAAACATAGGAAGCATGATTCAGTACCTAATTGAGAATATCTCAAAATTGGTTACCAATTAATTCATGGTAGCAAAAATGATATACCCTAACTCAACCACTATTAGGATCTAGTGAATCTTGATATACTTAACAAATTTGGCACTACACACTAATTTGTAAAAAGCTTTTTATTAATCATGACTTAAAGGCACATTAACATGCAAGCTTACATGCATTACAAAGGTTAACTAAATGATGTAAATATATTTTTGAAAAAGGTTTTAGTCATAACCAATCCTTAATTATTCTGCAAACAAAATATTAAAAAGAGATAAACATAGGTTATTTTTGTATCTTTCTTCTTTTTAATCATTTATGTAGTGCAATTATAATTATAGAATTTAGTCGTAGTTAGATATTAATTTCATTAAACTCGTTCTTTTAAACCAATAATTTACCAGATGGATTTTTACTTTTGTTAGGCTCAATTTTGATTTTCATACATGTGTATGCGATTCAAAATCAATCGAAATTATCATCTCCTAGATCAATTTTATATTAATTTCTTTTGAAATTTTTACTGCATAATCCATTAAAAAAATCACCATAAAAATCACCTAGTTAAAAATAAATCAGGCATGTAGAAATAGCATTATACCATTAAAACAGCATTTAGCTTTCAAGAAAAAGGCGTTTAGAACACAACTGTATAGATCTAACTTCGTCAACTGCTATGTCACATACAGGATATTGAAGCATGCAAAATAGATAAAAGGCAAATATTCCTGTTGCAGCAAACCTTAAAATCTAATTTACACCAACATTTATAACCATAAGCTCAATTAGTAATTAGGTTGACCGCTTTGAGAAATCACAACGGTGTGTTTATTTATTTATTTAATGGACGATAAAATATAAGTTGCCAATGTTTGGAAATGCACACAAACATGTACATTATATGTATGAATTAGAAATTTAGACAACGTACTGCATTTAGCATTTTAACTATCTCGGTAAAAATAAAATCACAGAAATAGTGCTAGAGTAGAAACTTGTTGTTCTCTTTAAGCTGAAATCAATATTAGTTGTTAATACCGATTTCAAATTATATCTTATCTACCTTCCCTTAAAATAGTTTTGAGTTTATTATATAATATATAGCTGATGTGTTGTTTATATTAGTGCTGATAACATGCTATAGCGAGAAATGTATATTACTCCAAGGTAAAGTAAAACAGAAATTTAAAAAAATCAAAGATAATGTAACTTTTAGTCCATTGCGTGATTTGTCAATTACAGTACGTCTATTCACATACGCCTATTAAGTTATTCGCGAAGTAGTGAATTCTTAGTTTATTTGAAGAGGTAGTAAACAAAAATAAGATCTATCGGCGAGCTTTAAGTTATCTACTCGTAAAATGTATTTGAAGGAAAAATCAAATTGAAAATCACAACATCAAAGTACAAATTGTTAACAATTGTTTAGTCACACTGTCAAATATAAAACGAGTAATGAAAATGGACGGAAATACACATTGTTAAAAAGGGGATAGCAAAGCGAAAAATAAAAATTACCTGGTTTCAGTAAACAGATTAAAAACAGCTAAAATGTTTAGGATAAACAATTTTCATATCAAATTTTAAATTCCCTAGCCGTTATAATTTTTTAAGTACGGTGGAAGAATGCATAAAAATGGAATATTTTACTTCCTTTTATAAAACATCGGAATGTAAAAAAAAAACTCTTAAAACTCCCTTATTATGTTATCAACCTATCAACAAAATTTGCTGCTCCTAATATATTCAGATATGAAATACTAAAATACCATTCAATTACATTAAAAAACTAATAAATAGTATAAAGAGTGTGTATAAATTGTTATTGATGATTCTTAATAAAGCAATTCTCCAAATCAATATGGTTGATCTTTGGTCCAACAATTGTTTAGGCCTACTTTAAACATTGTCAAACAAATTAGGCTACTTTAAATAATACGAGGAAATACGAGGGACCTCCTTGTGAAATAAAAATGCATTTTATCAAAACAAAATTATACTGTTATTTAACAATAACTAATATAAACTTAGTTGTATTATAGTACATATACATTTTGCAAACATTTAGTACGATTTTCAGTTCATGTATATGTTTTTATTTTCAATTTAGAAGGTGGAATAAATTAAGTTTAATCGTCTTAAAAACTAGTTCTGTAGCTAGACCAGTTTAAGTAATGGATTTTGAGTAACAAACAGTTTTTTTTAATATATATTTAGAATTGTAAAACAACGTACAACACAATATTTAAATACACGGTATTGTATTATAGTCTTTAAAATGAATTATTGTTACAATGAACATAATTTGTTTGATGAAACAGTTTATTCCGAAAAAATAAGGTTAAACTCAAGTAGAATGTACTCGTATATAAATAACCGGGAAAACAATATACATGATAATTTTCACTCGATAATGTTTTGGCGATTGATACAAGTTATTAAATACTTTATTTCATTGATAAAACAACTTAATGCAGGTTTTTGACAAAATCTTTGTGTGGAACAAAGTAAAAAAAGTAATCGCCGAAAATACATTTTTATAAAGAGGGTAAAAACGATTTAACTCCCCGTCTAAAAGAAGATCATACTTATACATCTTTAAAATACAATAGCATACATAACGGAAGGCATTTCGGAATTTTACTAAATTAATAATACAAAGTAGGAATATGAAGATACTGAGCAATTGGGAATGCACTCTAGAAAATCTCCAACATAGCGGGCGAGACTAGAAACCATCTATATGAAAACCAAATGGAGCATATCATTTTTCAAAACAAAATTAACCGTTTAAAATACGAGTAGTGGATACATAGGGCTGCTGAGGAGTGACGTCACAAGAGCCATGTGGTGCTTAATTGACGGTTAAGCATCTGGTGGTAATGGTGCGTGACCTAGCACGTGGTGTGGTGGGTTACGGTATGGTGACGTCATGATGACGACATGCTGAGGTGTGAAAGTTAGGTGGATCGATATTTTCAAGGTTATTGTTGTGGTTTAAAAAAAACAGCATATCGGTAAAGGGATAAGTACCGATATGCTGATTTTTAAATTCTTTATTGAAAAATCAAAATTGACATACGAGGAATATAATTGTTTTCAAACTTAAACCTAATACAGATCTAAGCTAAACTAAACATTTGGATCATAGAGTTAGGTCTACTACAGTAACAACAGTTGTCAAATTGTCATCCACACATGTCGCAAGCGAAACAGTGTTTGCATTGGTAAGAAGAGTAAATTACGATTTTTTTGTCCATGCATATTATACACTCAAAGTTTGCTTCTTTTATTGGAAACATAGTAGGAATTTTGTTAAATTTGAGAAATTAGCTATATATACGACATAAAACTGTTGGAGATAACTATTTGTACATGTTACCTTTGCAATGTTTGCGATATAATTTGTTGTTAATGAGATGTTGTCTTTAGCTAGTTCCACTACAGACTAATGAGAGACCCATCATACACATTCTTTTATGCTGTTTATGATTGCTATCTGGTATACAGCAAACATTCGCAATTGAAATATTTCCACTTTTGTCTTTGCATTTTATAAGATCGTCAAGTGAAAAGTTTGTTATTATGTACATATTACAAAAAGTGTTTGGATTTTTGGTTTGCAATGTTTCTGTGAGAAAACTTATTAAAAACCACTATTTTATTATGTCACCATTATAAACATAAATCCAGAACTAAACTAAAATATCACTTTAATCCTGCAAGGTGTATCAGCTATTTAACTGGTATGGAAAAGTAATGTACACAGTGTTTCTACTTCTTCGTGAACAGTTGGCGGTACATGCGGGCAGATCATTGTTCCACTAATTACAACCATATGCCACATTTGCAACATAGTACCTTATATTTCTAAGACTTGTTTATTCATTCAAATCGTTATGTTTTTGAATGATTTTTTTAAAATAACAAACATTTGGTATATTGCACATTGCTTAATGTTAGACGTACAAACGATCAAGCTATAAAAAAACAAATTCCCCACTCTTTACCCTATAATTTACTATTTATTTAAAGCAAATGTTGACTCTCATTAAATACTCTTGGTTGTATTGTAATCCAACGTATTTCTGTTTATCGTTTGTCCTTTTGTGAAACTGTTTGAATGTTTTTTTATTGCTAGTTGTAGTACAGAAAACTATTCAATTTAACTAATTTCACTGTTAAATATGTTCAAATGTTAGGTAAGGCTTCTTTCACCGTCAACCAGTCTTTCTAATATATCCATCACTTCCTTGCTAAATATGGATCCTTTTTACACTGGATGATATTATATAAGCATCGGTGCATGACCTAGCACGTGACCTAGGACATGGTGTAGTGGGTTACGTCATGGTGACATGTCAGAGCTAGGGTGGATCGATATTTTCAAGGTCGTTGTTTGGGTTTAAAAAAAATCAGCATATCGGTAGTGGGATGAATACCGATATGCTGATTTTTTTTTTTAAATTCTTTATTGAAAATTTAAAATACACACAATTGTAATTTGTAAACCCTTCACACCAATCGATACAATGGAAGTATCTCGTAATTTATTTATTGGTTCTTTCGTTTTGCTGTTGAGATTATTAAATGCGAATGGAGGTTCAAATAGAAATGGAAAGACAATTCCTGTATTTAAATCTAGGAATACTAGTTCCTTTATGATATATTCATTTTTGTTT